CCCGCCGTACCACAGTCGGGCGTCGTTGGCGGACCAGCTCCATTACCCTTCTCGACGATTGCGTCGGGCAAGTTGCGATACTGGATGGGGTGTCGGCGGTGCGGTGTGACGCCTGTGCGGAATGGCGGGAGGTGGTGGAATGGGTGGGGCTGCCGTCGTCCGCCTTCGTGAGCGGCGGGCGGCCCCTTTGCCGTTTTTTAACGGCCGTCCGCGCGGCGAGTGGTTCCCTCCGGTTGCGTGTCGGACGTTGCTTTTAGATGTGTCGTGTCCACAAACACGACACGACTGGCATCGCAACGATCGTTGCGTCCCTCGCCGTTCCGCGGGAGGCTGGGTTGCCCTCGAAAAGGCGTCGGCCTCATGAACGGCGGCGCAAAGACGGTCGCGAATGTTGCGGAGCGGGGTGCCGGGATCGGATGCCGTCATGAGCCGCACCCGGAATGCCTGCACTAAGATCCCGCCAAAATTCATGAGGCGATCGGCGGGATCCCGCTCCGCTTCCACCGCGTCGATCCACGCAATCAGCGCTCGAAGGGAAGTTGAACCTGGTCCTCCGCCTGGCGCCAATAATTTTGCGCGCCCCGGAAGTCGACAACGACTCCGGAAACGCACGCATTCCATATACGCGGGGGCCATGTGGTGACGTCAAGGGCGCGGAACCTTCGTTCCTCTTCTTCTGTTGCAGAATGGGCTTCCAGGAGGAAGTGCGGAAGGCAAGGGCAACGAGGAGCAAAAATGTGGTCGCCCGAAATCGCCCTGAGACGTCTGGGGAATAACCTGCCGTCTCTCTCGCGTGGGGTTGCGTTGGGCCGTGCGTGACGGCGCGCCCCAAACCATCAAGCAACGCGTCTGACGCGGTTTTTTGGTAACGCCATCTTCGGCCGTATTTTCACGCGGGAAAGGTCCATCTGTAGGACCTCTCCGAGTGGCGGGGGCTTCTCTCCGGCCCGCCGTCTCCGCCTCCCACGCGACTTGCTGCGCCTCTCTAGCGCTGACGCGTGCCTCTCGTTCCTGTGGTTGGGCGCGGGTCGCCTCCAACTGCTGTCCGCGCCCGGCGAGCGCGCATTCTCGTTCTGCAAGAAGGCCGCCGGAGACCGCAATGTGAGATCCGCGCGCCGATAGGTTGTCATGCGCCTCTTCCAGCCGCGAATAAAGCTGAGCGCCTCGATTCTGCGCGTCCGCGACGGCGTGGGCGCAGTCAGCGATCGATCGCCCCCCTTCAGCAATGATGACCCCTTGCTGGACCCCCAACTCCCGGGCCGCACCCACACGATGGGCGGGAGCACCTGAGTCTCAAAATTGGGTACTTGGGGCTCCCGGGGATTCGCAACATGCCCTGTAAGGCTCGAATCCTCCCAGGGTTTGGCGATGTTTCTCGAAACCAAGCGTAAGCCTGTCATCGGGGTGGCCACAGTCAACGTCGCATCCGACGGCCCGTTTTCATCAACAAAGGCGGGCTGCACCTGCATATCGCCATGTTGGCGTACCAGGTGCGGAGGACGGGCGCCAATATCGCCCCACTCGGAGACCGTGTAAAATGAGCCAATGCCATTTCCTTAAACCAACCTCGCTGTGGCTGTAGGTTTGAAATTAAAAATAAAAAACTATCTGGCCGCTACCGACTCACTGATCCCTAAAGTCGTGGCCTTCCAAAAATTCATAAGACAAAGAGGTGTCGTGAAGAAACCTACACGTTCTATCAGGGTATATATACATTAACTAAGTTCGCCAGCTCTCCCGCGATCATTCGCCTCAGAAGCTCCTATGAAACGAAGGCCCGGGAACCCGCGGAGGCTGCCTTGAGGCCGGTTCGCGGCGCGGCCTTCCCCACTGATGTCCCCACGATTCCGAGCCGGCGCTACGGGGGCCCGGCGCCCGATTTTTTGTTGTGCGGGAAGCTTGCTGGAAGTAGTGGTTCTGGTGTTTTTTGGCGTGTGAACATTTGGGTCACTATTTCTTATTAACGCCGCGGCCGTAGTGAGTGATGGAGGGCGAATTTCTTTTTTTATTGCAGTGTCAGCTTGTGAGACACGGTGGGTTCTATGGCACCTTTTATTTTTAGCTTTTTGAGACCCTAGCCTTTTTGTTGCACCGTGTGTTCCGCAGTAGCACGCTTGTGGTCCCCATGCGCGCATTTTGGACTTCCATGGTGTGTGGACGACTTTGTATTTGCAGAAACGGCGTATTCGGCTACGAGAA